TATGTATACTGTACATATAACTGTGATTGGTTGTAAACGTGTTACAGGATGTTATATTATTGGCTGTTCTGCACTGACGCAGCAGCCACAACTTGACAGATTTCTCTGATTGACTTCTGCTCTGTTGTTGTTAAATTAAATCATTTGACGGCCGTACACGCAGACTTTCTGTGCATTTATTCCAACATGTTTCTGTATTCTTGGTAAATCGTGCCACCACAATAGCAAAATATTTGAACCATTTGTACATTTATAAAGTGTTTGCAATGCGCTACGTTCTTCTCATTGATTTCAATGCTTAGCGTTAGCATTAGCTCACTGCATAAAAATGCACCTTGTGAAGCCACGCCCAGGTCACGTGACACCCAATTAGGGTTGGGCAATATTGGCAAAAAAATAAATCACGATTAATTGTGGCATTTAACCAATAATGATTAATTTGACGATTAATCCCCTGGAGTCCCTGGACGCCSTTATGTCCTGGTCACATGACCAATTTAGTGGGAAAGATTTGCTCTTCATAAAAATCTGTTCCAAACTGTGTTAAAATTACAGACTTCAGGCTATATATCAAATTTTAGACAGTGTTGATAGATAAATAAATTACAGAACTTTTTTAAAATGTTTATCATATTTTAAGTGGGGAGGAGCACCGAGCAGACTGACTGGAGAAATCTCCAGTCAGTCTGACTGGTGGCATTAACTGTATTAATTGTCAAGTGCCAAAAAATAATCGATTAATGTTTTTCTGACGATTAATTGCACACAATACGATTATGCCCAACCCTACGCCCAATCCAGTAATATACTGTATATGAATGAACAGCTCTGCTTTATTTTGACCCGTTTCTGATGGTCTCGTCTCACCTTCCTCAGTCCACTGCTGGGATTATCGGCGGATGGTGGTGAAGATGTCTGGTGTGTCCGTGGAGAAGGAGCTGCAGTTCACAGATTGTCTTATTGGCTCTAACTTCTCAAACTATTCCAGCTGGCACTACCGCAGCACCCTGCTACCACTGCTGCACCCCGAGTCTCCTGAACAGACCCCCCCAGTGACGTGTGAACGTCCTCAGGCCTCGCCTCCATCGTCTCCTCAAACCCACTTCCACAGGGTGTGTGAGGAGCAGCTGCTCAAAGGTCTGAAATGCACCGAAGCCACCAGCAGGGGGCAGTCTCAATCTATTTTACACTTTTTCTTGATTTTTTTTTTTTTGACCCACTTAAAAAACTCTAGGATCCACTCCGTTTTCATCATCACTAACTCAGCAGAGCAGTTCTTACAAAAAGCGTTTTTTGTAACATAGGTGCTAAATTTCAAAATGAAGTAAAGGTATAATTATAGTTTTTGAACCGTTACGATTTAAAAAACACTAAGTAAAATTAGAAATCCTCAAAGAAATAACTTAAGCACTGTGATAAGGTCAATGTATTTAGTTACTGTACTCCTCTGAAAGGCTTCCATGTCTGTTGTTGTTTACCAGCATGGGTAGAGGAGGTCCAGGTCCAAAGACTGAGGAAGAGGAGTGTGTGTGGGAGGTGAAGGTGTTGGTGTGGTYGGAAAGGTTCAAGTTTCAGCAGAAAATCCTGGTTTACAGTATTTTCTGTAATATTTACAGTATTTCAGTTTTCAGTCACAGTTTTTTTGTTTCGATTTGATTGATTATTGTTAATTCAGTCATCAAAATTGTTCAGCAACAAATCAAAACATTACAAAACAGCACAAAAATGTAAACATTTTGACTGAAAAGGTACAGG